AGCGAAATACTTACATTTAGTTAAATTGCATGTTTCGTCAGATTACAACTGTCACCATAACATCGTATTAAGCGCCCGTGGTCTAAAGTTTGATTGTCGCGCAAAAATATAAAAAACAATTCTCTGAGGAAATTGTGAAGTTAAAAAACGTTGCTCTGTAAATAAAGTTACATAAATTATGATTTAATACATGAGAAGAAAGCGGGATTATTAATAATGAAAATTATTATTGCATTAAATAACAGACAACAATTTTAACCTTACCAAATTAAGAAATGTACTAGGTAAGTTTTTATAATGTGAATGACTAACTTAAAATATTGTCAAAACATAAATTTGAAATATATTTTGCTTCGAGAATTTCATTTACATGTTATGTACTTTAAATTCCAAATTTAAAATGTTTTTTACTCAATAATTTGATATACTTACTAAGTAGTTAGTTATTTACTGTAAATTCCAAATTTAAATATTTTTTCTTCGAAAATTTATTATACCTTACTTGCCATGTTATCTTTATCCACTTATCTACTTCAAATTCTAAATTTAAAATGCTTTTCTTCGATAACTTCTTTTAATTGCTATGTAGATACCTACTTACTTTAAATTCCAAATTTAAAATGATTTTTATTTGAAATTAATTTACTTGCTTGCTACTTTAATATACTTCGACTTACTCTCAAAATTATGAAACATAATGACATCACGAAGCCGAAATAGAATTTTAATATATTTAATACTTACAAAAGATCTGAGAAGACGTTCCAAGTATTTCTTGGGTGCCTAATTAAATATAATAATACATAATTTTGGTTCATATTCAATAGGCTAAACGTCAACAATAATTGAATGTAAAAGCTGTTTTTAAGTATTATCTTTAAAAAATAATAACGAAACACTTTGAAAGAACTATGACCTTTTAACCGACAACGGCGTTTAAAAAAATGCAAATGTATGCCTCATGTTAGATTAAGTTAACGAAAAAATTTTTATTTGAAATTGGCTCATTGGATAATAGTAGCAGTTTATAGCTATTAACCAATAGGTTGTGGGTTCAAACGTGTTTCTTATAAATTTAAAAATTTTCTGAGATGTGTTGGATATTGTCTAGAAACCTAGGTATTCAGTAGTCCCCGACCACTATTGAAATTTTGCCCGGGTCACCAACCACCCGACCCGTGAAGTTTAGAATATCCCAAGCCAAAACAGGTTGAAAGCGTATCCTGTTGAAATGTTATATGGCTTTGCTAACTCACCTACCATCAAGTGAACAACATGCTCGTCTGTGCTTCTCTATCATAAAAATGAGGCTGTCCCGTATCAATTAATAGCAAGCCAAACAAACAGCATTTTGCATCGCCGTGGCCAAGTTCTAACAAAAATTACACCCATATATCCTCAGAATTTATCATAGTACTTGACACTTGAATACAAAGTGTTGCCATTTTAATTTTGCCTCGCCGTCTTCGTTGAGATTTTTGGCGTAGGTTCCCAGTGAGGAGTTGTTGTGACATGTTCCGAATTTATGCCTTAGCAAGCTTTTAAATTTATATGCGTTGTTGAAGTGGAAACGTTGTCTTTTAAAATTATGTTCTTAGCTTTGAGCTTTTCATTAGAATAAAAGGATCTCTATTGATGTCTTTCCCTTTGTTCAGTTTGAATATGCGTATTTCCAAAAATAAAAGAGATAGTATTTTAATTTTTATTTATAATAATTTTAGTTTTTTAATGTTTTTACTACGCAGCAGCCTTTACATACTATTTAACGTAAAAATACGGTACTCAAATTCTATATAAGATCAAACTAACACAAAGCTGTGTTTTATATAAATTAAAAAGAAGTTTTTTATAGAGGTAGACAGACAAGAATGAGTTTCTATTGGTATAACGTGAAGTAACCCAGCTAACAACTAAGTCAGATGCGCTGTAACTATTTTGGCTTTGGATATTTGGAAATCCACAAACCGAGTGTTATGTTCTGTTGGTCCAACCAATTGAGCTACCGTGTCCTACACGTCATCGTCAAATTTTTGGCAAACATTTTGTACATGCACCGATCGCGCGAAATGTTTTAATCTCAAATCGATTTAAAAATATATATATTTTCTAAATATATTTATTTATATTTTAAAACAAATTTCCAATCGCTCACGAAATTCCGAGAAATTAATATTTTCAATGCCTATAAATAGTAGTATAGTAAAACTGGACCCACAATATAATATCTGAATTCGTCTCACGACTTTTACCATAAGTGATCCTCCATATTGTTCATTGCTAAATTTTTTGGCTTCAGATAGAGGCGTGATGTGTTTCTCAAGAGGATGCTTGCTTATTGTTTCATATATTTTTTGTAAGGAAGTAATCATACCCAACATCTCAGAATAATTGTATCTAATATATGTCATAATAATTATCTGGTGTCTTATTATTGGAAGAAAAGTATGCTTAAACAATGTTAAATAGATGTTATATGGCTAGGGTAATATCACCATTCAAAATAAATACCTCATGCTTGTCCTTCTCCATCAACCAATAATTCTGTAATAGAGAGTCAATTAAACACTTTTAACAGTTTATAACGCAAAATGCTTCATTTATTCTCCTTTACGAAATTCATTTAGCATTTCTTATTATTTTAGAGATAGCGTATTAGATATAAATGAATAATCTAGGCACAGTATGTAGTTAACACGAATGGTACACATTGAAATGAAACTTTTTTAACGGTTTAAAATGCGATTTATATACTAATATACTAACTATAACTTATTCACAATCTATTCTATTACAACACAATTTTTCCGATGTTTTGCGGCAGTCGTGATCACGGGGCGAATCTGAATAAATTTACTTTGAAAACGAAAAAATGCAATATAAATAAAGGGATGTTTATGTAAATTCTTGATTATTAAGTACTTAGCTAGGTCACGTGATTACGGCTGCTAATATATTTCGCGTTTTAAACCGATTAAAGTGTACCATTTAAATGCCTGTACTTAGTTAAGTTTTCTCCAAAACATCACATCGCGTTTAATTCAAAGCAACGCGTATATAAGACAGCCAAATAACTATGAAAGCAATCGGTCATGTCCATCCACCTAATAACAAAGAGATATGAATCACTGTCACAATGTAGGAAAAAAATTGACGCGAAAACCTGAGAAACTAATATGTAACAGCGATCGGATAGTGAAAAATGGCTTAACGCTGAAATTATGTATTGAAGTATCGCCTAACAATATCGGTGGCCGACAGTGCGCTTTCTTCACGTTGCAAAAGGGTTGCTGTTAAACGTGTGTCATGCTTATTAAATACCATATTGTGTTTTTGGAGACTCACTGTTATATACAATAGTATAAAACCCCATTTGAAAACTTTAATAATTTTCACGTGTTTATGGAATTATATAAATTAAAAATCGATTTTAGATTGACTGCGCGTGCGATGTATCAATAAGTTGAATAAATTTAACGATGACGTTTAGAACACCGTGGGTCAATTGGTTAGAGCAACAGTACAGAACCGGCATCGTCCAGCATGCCGGTTCAAGTCCTGCCCGAGTCGAAATTTTTTTCAATTTATTTTCGATTTTTAAATTATATAGTGCCTACATTACTTTGCATTACACAAAATTAAATGATTGTCAAATTTGGATTATTCCTTTCGTTAATTTTGCAATTATAATCACATATCTTACTAGCTGTGTCAGCGACTTTGTCCGCGTAGAATATTTGTTTTGGGCATCCAAATTTGTTTTTGCAAACCTCTACATCTTTATAAATTTAAGCTGCCCACGACATCGGTCGCGTCCTGTCGCTCGCGACCCACCGTTCGGTTCCCATCGTTCTTGCAAGTTAATTTTAAAAGATAGACATATAGCGTCGCGGACATTTTTTCAGATTATTTAAAGGGAAATCATTGCTCTATATATATTTTTTTGGGTGTTCAAAACGGTTCAACCGTTTTCGCAGCGTACGCATCAGAAATTCACAGAGATGAAAATGTTCACATTTCCCGCTGTATCTTCGCTTCTATTATTCACAATGCGATGCTATAATCTTCCTCAATTAATATCCTAGCTAACACAAAAATAATATTTCAATTCGAACCCGTAGTTCCTATTAGTGCGTTCAAACAAACAAACTCTTCAGCTTTATATATTAGTATAGATTGAATTGCCTAAAAGTATGAAATATGACACACGAAATACCAGCGATAGTTATAAATATCGAGAATATTTGTTTAATTTCCTCTCAAGATTCACCTCAGTATATTAAAGGGAGCGGATATTATAAACGTTAACAATATTTTACGTCTTCTCTGCAGCTCATAAAACACGTTTTGTATCAAATCTGCCCCATGATATTATAAAATATGCTATTTTATTACATTTTCCATACCCGCTGCTGGCGTTGCATAGAATGTTCAACGTATTCAATCATCTTGATATTAACAGCGGAATACTTTAAAAAATCTTTAATATTTGAAATAGGGTTTTATATGATGTTCTTGAAACATGTTTCATCTGTGTAAAATAGTTATTTAGAGCATCAACATTTGTTTTTGCGAACCTCCTCCTCACCTTTATAAATCTTTTCAATTTCTTGTGGTTCATGATCCGGACGGAATTTTCATAATACGTTATCGAAATACTGTCTGTAGTTTACGCGATTAGTGCACATTAAACAAAACACTTTAACGGTTTAAAACGTGATATATATCAGTAAAATTATTTGAAAATTAATATAAATACGTTTTCGATGCTTATCTCCGTGACCATGGCTGATAGAAAACGGCCACAACGTTAAAATAATTTTCAAATAAGTTTAACTAGTATATGTCGCGTTTTAAACTGTTAAAGTGTTTACTTAAATTACATTATCTATTTAAAATCCGGAAATTCTAAATACTGTACAACCATACGTTATGTTAGCCATACGTCGCTATCATAAAATTAACGAGCCCATATGTTATTAAAAGTTCTTTGTGTTTTACAGAGTGCGATCCAAGCTATCAACATAACCCCAGGAGATAAATCAATAGAAGATATTTGCCCAAAAGTAAGACTTAACTTCTAATCAATTTAATATACAATACTGTATCACATAAAAAAATAATCACTATTTTTTACAGGATTTATCCGACATAGTAAGTTTATCACTTAATGTTATAAGTTCGCTTCATGTAACCTTAACATTACTTATTAATAAGTTAATACAGATGCAGTAATTATATTATATTGTGGCGAAAGCATTATTATTTCTATATACATATCTTCAGGTCAACTGGTAATATATGGGTTTGTCCTTTTTTCAAATGTAAACTAATAAAAGCTCTAACTGAAAAGAGGTCGCGTTTCTAAAGAATAAATTCGACTAAACTACTGTAATTTATAGTAGAATAATATATACGATAATCAGCTGTACTAAAATATCTTGCTTTTTTGTAGACTCTCGCAAATTCGGGTGGACAGCACACTGTAAGTCTTTTTTGCACTTTTTCAACTTTAATAAGATTATATGAGGAGTTGACCTAAATTTTAATTGGCTTTTTAAATCTAAAAATTCCTAAAATTGGACTTGGTTTCTTAGTAATTCAATTCTTCTAGGACCAACCGAAGGCGGCTTTTCTAACGAAAGTATGTTGAATTGAATATTTGCAACGTTATCTTCTGCTTTTTATGCTTTATATTAAGTGTTTTTAATTTTCGTGGCGTCTGCTTTGCTTTGTTGCCGTTAAAATTGTCTGATATACAGTTCAGAATAAAAATATAACGCGAACATTTAGTTTGCAGATACTTTTTCATCAGATAGCGAAGAAGAAGACAGTGGTAAGTACTTTTTTAAATTTCATTTTATAAAATACCTTTATCGTTTAAGGTCCTGGATTTGAACCTGCAGATATAATAAATTGTTTAATAAAGTGTAAAAGGTATCAGTGAAACGAATAAAATATTGTGCCCGTTTGTCCCAGTCGTTAAGAATTGGATTAGGACGTTTATCGTTCTTTATTATTAAATTTATTATGTATTACCCCCAACAATATCTGTTTTACTCTGATAATTTTTGTGCTGTTAAAACAAACCTTAACCCAATCTTAACTTTTCAGATAAGGAGAATGAAAACGGAGATTATGTAAGTTACACTGAAATTTCATAAATTTGCTCATTTGTTAAAATTGTACATGAGTCTTGATTTTAATATTGCGATTCTTGGCTGCGTTCGAATTTAAATTTCAAAAATGTTGTATGTATTATTAAATTAGCTACTTGCATTTAGAGCTATGTAAATAAGAAATGGTTGTTCGCATATCGTACATTACAATTGTATTGTCATTCCTGTTATGCCATGGGAGGTTGTAGCGTTTCTCGTATAAGCGAAACTGACGCGAGATGACGAAACATCGAGAAACATTTCTCAATTACAACGCCCCGAACGTTTGAAAATCCAGGCAGCTTTGCAAAATGGCTGCGACAGTCCTGTACCATATGTAAATATCAAATTCTTCTAATTTTAGAGTGATGAAAGGAGTGGAGGAGATACTACTGATTCACTAGAACCCCAAGATCTAAAAGGGCTTGATGGAGAAAGGGGGGTAAGATTTTTTATATATTTTAAGTTGTCTGTGGTACTACTAATTAATATGTATCGATTACCCTATTAATATTATGGAATCTTAACAGATGTGTCAATGCACAGAGTCCATTGTATCAGATATACTACAAAGCTTGATCAAAAGTACACCAGACCTACGTGGCCCTCGTGGAGAAGATGGTTCTACGGGGAGACCTGGCCTAACGGTAATTAACAGTTTATACAAAACTGCCGTAGTAAAAAAATGAGTTCTATAATACTATTTACATAAAAATATTTCAAACAGTAAGGTATTAATTTGTTAACTATTTCTATAAAAACTATATATTATACGCCTATTTATTTAAATATCAAGGGTTTGCCTGGAGTACAAGGTGAAAGTGGACCAATTGGACCCCAAGGGCTAAAAGGTGAAGCGGGGATACCTGGTTTACCTGGAGGGGACGGTTTGACAGGCGCAAAAGGAGAACCAGGAAAAGATGGAGTCGCAGGTCCGCCGGGTCCGCCGGGAGAATGTGTCACAGTTGAGAAGGTGATTAAATTGACTACCATTTAAAATATTTAAAAAAGCTTTTCCACTCGTTGTTCTTTTTGTATATTTGATTTTTATCGGGTGGGCTACAATTTGTTTAAGTATTTCATTTTATAGGAAGGTATTTAAAGCATAAGCATGTCACAGATATTATCTAACAGTCGTTAATCAGACATAGAGCAGATAAAAATAGTATTAATTAAAAATAATGAAGGCTTCTTCATTTTAATAACTTCTTCACTTCATTGCTCAGTAATATCGATTTTTTTAATAATAAAATACTAATACTTCTTTCGTTTCATTTGAAACCCCGGAACAAGTAATGTCAGGGATTATGTTGACAGAAAACAGAAGACACAAAAGGTGATTTAGGACCCATGGGACCACCAGGGACTCCTGGTCATGATGGTACTAAAGGAGACAAGGGCGATAAAGGAGACCAGGGAATTAAAGGTGACAGAGGAGATGAAGTGACAAAGATTATCACTTATAAGGTACATCTCTACCATGCCTGTTGGCGTGCTGCTTGAGTTTAAGAAAAGCTGGATAAATAAAATAGAATAAAGAAAAATACAATATTTAACTCTAGGGTGCTGATGGAAGACCTGGAGCTCAAGGTGACAAAGGAGCGCCTGGAGAACCAGGATTAAATGGACTACCGGGAACACCAGGAGCGCATGGAAGGCCAGGGACGGATGGTCAAAAAGGTAGTAAAAACCTATAGAGTGTTACGTTTTTGTATGATAAATAGGCGGTCTCTCGGTGATCCATAATCACCTATTTGAACGCCTTGAACTTTTACCTTTCCGCTATTATTTTTAAGTTTTGTCTGTAGTTTAAGAAGGTTTAGACGTTTATCGCCAGGCGTAACCACGAGAGTTATCTTAAGTCATCAATTATGCAATTTTAACCGTTAAAAGGGTTTTATTTAACTTTCCAATCTTTCTATGTTGTCTAGAATTTTCGATATTCTATTTATTGTCGTTTCAGCCGTTCGGTGTCCACTGCTGGACATAAGGCTTCCCCAAAGACTTCAGTACGACTTGTCATTCGCTACTTGATATTTGATAAAACGTTTAAATTAATATGTACAGTAATGAACATTTACAAAATATTTTTTTCGATAGGTGAAAAAGGTGACAGAGGCGATATAGGTCTACCAGGTCTTCCAGCGAAATTGACATCGATTTTAGACACAACTATAGACCCTGAAGAAAGTAAGTATTGTACTTACTTTCGATCATCGAAAGAGAAATCATTTTTTTGTACATATTTTTTTAATATCTTAAACCGTTGTCGCAGCATACGTATCGGAAACCCACAGAGATTATTAACTTCCCACATTTCCCTCTATTTCTTCGCTTTAGCCCAATGTTTTATAGCCTAAAAGCCTTCCTTGATGAATATTTGACCAAAAAACAATTCGATCCAGTAGCTCCTAAGATTAGGGAGTTTAATAAACAAACTATTCAGTTTTTTAATATTAATATAATACCTACAAGAAACTACCTCATCACCTCTATAAAAACCGTTAAATGTTAGGCGTAACGTTAAACGCGAGAATTTCTCGGTTCGAATCCGGGGAAACAATAAATCAATTTTATTTATTTATATAAAATAAATAAAATTGATTTATTGTTTCCCACCATTTATTTTTCAAATATTTCAAATTAATAATTTCTAGTCTCGACTTGTCTGTAAGTATAACCGGTCAGTGAAACGGATACAGAAATGTGTCCGCCCCATGCCCGACGAGGGGCAAAGGGTTTCACTAGAAACTACAAATATTTTTCAAGGCAAATCACTATTTATAAGCGTAGTAACAAAACGTCTTTTCGCTTGAAAAAAAACATTTTCCCTCGATAAATATTAATCCTAAACAAATTTTAATATATCAAAACTCCGGTCATGTAAATATAAGGGTATTGAATCCCAAATATTTAGTAGCCACTATTTACCTCTATTAGCTTTGAATCTCATCCCGACCCGCTATTGTCCAACCTTATGTTTTGTTTGTTTTTTTTTATGATAGAGGAGGATAGACAAGCATGGCGTTCACCCAATGATAAATGACATAATATAACATCTAAAGATATGTTGTCGACCTATTATGGCTTTGGATATTAGGAAATCCGATTTGATTAAAATTCGCGGTTTTATTGTCTGTGCATGGTGGTTTGTGACCCAGTCGGACTTTTTGTTATTCCTACCATCCATTTAATATCCAGATTCTCAGACAAGAAATATTAGACCCGGTGAGGATATAACCCATTGATTATTAGCCGTACATTGCTACTATAACACCAACGAGCTCATCAAAATTGATGTCCCTTTCTATCTATTGGTTGGAAGATATATATTGTCTGTATTGCGGATCTTTGTCTAAACGAGCGTACACTGAACGCTGGTCGCAATTTTTCGCACAGTCGAACCGCATCAGCTCCTAAGTATTTATCTATCAATATTTCTTCATAGTTCCACGAGAGCTACTCACTCATACACTCATGCAGAAGAGTCAGTTTAAGAGATTACCTACTATGGGTATAGGAATACATGTATTTAAGATATATTTGACAAAAATATTTTTTGATTAAAGATCAACACTATTCTTTTGAACTAATTGAACTAATGACAATTAAAATTCTCACAACAGACAATATTAAAATTAAAAATAAGCGATTACAATACGGCATTGACTACCGAAATATACAATATCTTGTCTACCAATTTACAGACACGAAAAAGCATTTTCCCCCGACTACTACCAATTTACAGACACGAAAGTTAATAAATTATTGATTGTAAACGCCTATAAGATAATTAAAGATTTAAAACCGTAAATGTTTTCTTTAGTATCCTATACACATAAGATTTTAATAGTTTTTTTAATCAGTTCAATTTAAATAAAAAACTTTTTAATAAAACGCAACATATATAATACTGAAGATGAGGGGTATCCTTAATATCATAGTCAAATCTGCTACGCTAGCGCCATCTGTTATTTTTTTTTTAACTGAATACATTTTTTTCAATTACAGCTATGATTACATAACGCGACGTAACCGTAACATTTCAATCTTTGTTCTGTACGTTGTCGTACGTAATTGTTAATTTGAATAAAACTGGTTCATTTCATTCAAACTCCTATCTCAACCATACATTCGAATAATGCTGGAAATAGAATAAGAGAATTAGCAATTTGGAAAAGTTTTATACGAATTCGGCTAACAATTCTACAAAATTTATACATTCAATCTATATTCGTGAATCGTGCCAAGCCACCGCAAATGCCGTTGCACCAGCGGAATTTTCATCCATCACATATTATTCCATTTGCTGGACTAGCGATTAATTGTGAGCGATCGAGTTCATTTGCATTTTTGGAATCATATTATGAACTTTTGTTAACTTGCAAACAATAATATCCTGTACGCACGTCTTGTACAAAAAAATCTAAGTCAGCTTTCTGTTACCCAAAAATCAAAAACTATTATTAAAAAAAAGGATAGGCATACTCTCTAGATAGAAGGCTATTTTGGAAAAGCAAATTTAAAAGACACCAAATGCCAGATAAAAATATTTACATCTATTCCAACATTACATGTTTCTCCAAGATATATTTATACCCAGTGATTATACCCAGGATCACTCGCGCTTAGATATTTCTAAATCAATATGGTTTATAAATAATTATATAATAATAATAATAATAAATAACAACATGTGTGAAAATTGAGACTTACTATCGACAAGGGTCTGTGTCTTTTGATCTAATAGAGCCTCGATTTCATAAAGGACTGCATTTTAATGAACTTGCTCACAGAGACTAAATCTATAGGAAAATTATCGATTCAATTATTTCTGTACTTATGACAAGCCTGTCAGTCAACTGGTAGAATAGTATGGCTAATAATTTACTGATTTAAATAAAACACTTTAACGCTTTAAAACGCGATATATATTACTTAAACTTATTTGAAAATGATTTTTGACTTCGGCCCGACGTTTCGGATGCGTTTTTGTTTGTTTAGACAATATTTGGCTCTAGATTTCACTTTAAGGGAACCCTTGTCTGCTGTTTGTCGGAAACAATAAAATCTTACAACAGATGTACTTACAGTTATTTTTATCGTGTTATGTCTTATTAAATAATAAGTGGACAAAAGTATATAACTGTATAGAAAATGTACTTTTAAAATAAAAGCTACCACAGCAAACTATGCTGTTGCTTGTATCAACTACACTGCCGTCATAAATTTTTCATTAAATAAATACTTATACCATTTTTTCCGCTTTAAATATCACGTTTAAATTTATGATAAATATGTATATAAAATAATTATATATAGTTTTATATTTAACTTGAACAGTATTTCGTACTATGGAACATCAAGACTGATAAAATCGTCTCTCTTTCTGGGGAACTTATACTGTCTCTCATTTTAATGTCAAACTTTTTTAGCTTCAGCTGTGGTAGAAAAACTGAGAGGACTTACGGGTGATAAAGGTGCGACAGGTCCAAAGGTATAATGTATAATAAATATTCTCTTATACATTTAATAAGAATTTTGATTAAAATGTCAAATTATTTCAGGGAGAAAAAGGTGAACTAGGGTTCATAGGATTACAAGGCCCTCCGGGTAAGGATGGCAGTGATGGAACACCTGGCGAAAAGGGACATCGGGGACATACAGGAGAAGCCGGACCTGTAGGACCAAAAGGTGATAGAGGTGAACCTGGTCAGCCAGGCGCACCGGGAAACGTACCTGAGGCTGCCATCAGCTTACTTAAAGTAAGACTAGTTCTTATCAGATACATTTTCATTAAACTTCACCATGCAATTTTAGTCTATAACTCAATGTTAATTTGAAGGGGGCGAAAGGAGATAGAGGAGCCCCGGGAAAAACAGGAGATCGTGGACATACTGGTCATCCAGGGAAGAGAGGTCCCGTTGGCCCACCCGGGCCGAAAGGCTCATCAGGTGACAGAGGTCCAACTGGTTTCAAAGTGAGTATCACAAATGAGAAAATGAGAAAAGCTTCGTAAATATAAGGTCTTGATTATGAGTTATTTCATTGTTGTTCCAGGGTGAAAAAGGAGATAGAGGAACAGATGGTAGAACTGGACCGAAAGGGGAAAAAGGTGAAATACCTTTTATAGACTACAAAAAGGTATTTTAAGTACACAATACTTACACACAAAAATATAAACAACCTAAATAATTACTTGCCGTAGTCGAACGAAACAATACAACACACACTAAATGAAAAGCAAAACAATAATACTTGTATCACAGATTTGATTTCTCATGATAATACAGTTGAAAGCTTGAAAAGTATTGGATAAAAACTAATAAAAAATACAATTATTCGATTAACTTGGTAGAATAACGCCGGTCTTACTTGTTGGTCGAGGCATGGAGTCAAGTCTCACATTACACAACACATCCATCAATTGTTCTAAACACTATTAAAACGAAAGAAGTTATATTAACGTAATACCCACTACATATAAATAGGTACTATTACCCATTGTTAGAAATACCTGTCTACGTTATTGTGACTAGTTTTTATCCAACAGTTAAAAGGTGATAAGGGCGATCGGGGTGGAGATGGAATGCCAGGTGAAGATGGAAGGACAGGAGACCCTGGAACGTGTGACGCCACTACTTGTGTTTCATATCCAGGCCCACCAGGGCCTCCAGGTCCCCCCCGGAACTCCTGGAGTTTCTCTCACTGGTCCAAAGGGGGAACCTGGTGGTATTGTTTTTCAGAACGGGTTTGGGCAAACAGGTATATCTTCGTTCTAGATTATTCTCCTTTACAAGATCTATATAAAGTTATCTTAAAACCGAAGTGGTCACTGAGCATTTCAAAAGAGCGACTTTATGACTGCATAAATTTGTAAAGCATCCAAAACGTGGAGTCATAGTTACGAACAGATTAAATGCTTCGCATCTGCCATGGTCACGGAGAAACAGTTTTCAAAAAACAATTTACAAACAAGTTTAATTACAATATATTGCGTTTGAAACCGTTAATAGTACTTTTTCTATTTCAATATGATTAAGTTGTAAACTGTACACTTTTTGGAAATATAGTTTTAAATAATAAATAGATATTTTATTCAGTACAATTGTCCTACATACATTTTTCTACTTTGTTCTTAAGATTAACCAGAGACATTTCCCATATAATGGAAGAGAAACTTGGAAATTGTCTTTCGGGCTAGTAAATGTCTAATATTTGTTTTGTGTGTATATTTAATATATCTTCATTTAATCAGGGAAGTTATTCGACGATACTGAAGACGTTTATTCTGCAGCGACAGTAATATTCAAAAGCACATCTGTGATGTTGAAGGTAACTCGTAAATAAATAACTTGAGATTTTAATATAATAATATCAATACACCAAATCTAATACTTCATTATTTTATAGAGAACCACGACGACGCCTCTGGGCACCATAGCGTACGTTTTACAAGAAAGGATTTTACTGGTGCGGGTTGAGAACGGCTGGCAAAATATTGAGGTATTTATAATAAACTAAAATTTAATTTAATTAGTCTTATTATTTTCTATTGGGGACACCGATAGAAGGCCGGGTGATCAGTCCACGCCTTATGCTGACCATTTCACCCATTTCCCCTCTACTCGACTATTACTCGTTATTGGACGCTCAGTGTTTATTAGTCTTAGCCATCGTTTTCTCTATTCTAAGTAGTTGTCTAAGATGATAAATTTGATAGTTCACAGCTAAATATTATACATTTATGTCAATATATTACTATCGTGTTATATTTTACTGAATGGGACTTCTTAAAGAAATCTCTTTATGAATAACTAGCTAGTCGATTCGTCCGCGAATAGTGACTTGGGGTAGAATTTTTAATTAATGAGGCTGTTTATTATTTTTGTAGGGGAGCTTTTAAGCCAGCCAATCTATGTTGTAAGTGCTACTTTGCCTCAACACTCTCACCTCACATCACTGCTACTCTAACTCCCACTGTCATTCCTACACTCACTCCCACGACCACTCCCACTCCCACCCCCACTCACTCCCACTCCTGATCCCACTCCCTCTCCCACTACTACTTCCACCACCACTCCTATTCCCAAAAAGCCAAAGAAAGTTTCATTGTATTAGCTGCAAAAACCACGAATTTCCATACAAACTTTTATCCCCTTTTTCAACCCCTATCAATACTTATTTGAAATTAAAGCCTACGTTCTTTCTCAGGCTCTAAAATATCTGTGTACCAAATTTCATTTAAATCAGTTCAGTAGTTTCAGAGTTACAGCTGGACAGACAGATAGACAGTGCTACTTTCGCATCTATAATATTAGTATTAATATAGATTTTGATGATTATTAGTTTTATTAAACTTAAAGCCTCGGAGAAATAACAAAGTATTAAAAATTAACACTTAAAGTTCTCATTAATTCATAAAACAATTTATAATGTTATTTTCAGATGGGATCCCTATTTTCAGCCCGAAGTTCATCGTACAGCCACACTGAATATCCGATAGAAACTTATCGAACGAGCAGACGAATAACCAACGATAAAGCATCTTACGTAAGTTTGTAAAGCTACTACAGACCAAACGCGAGTTGCACAAAGGGTTCCGTACCATTTTCAAGGCACAAATTTACTTTTTACATTTAATAATATACAAAATATGAAAATGTTTTCTGTAAAAACTTCTAGTTTAATAAATTAGATTATTTATTCGCTGCACTAATATACTGCTTATTGATTTGAATTTTCGATGTAGCTCAATCGATATTAAAGGAATGATAATTTCGCGTTTCAGATTAAATCCTTGATTTCCGAGGAATCGGTCGACAAAATAAATAGGACTTATCGTGATATGTAACTATAATCTTATTAATACAATCCGGCATCCACAGCATTCCGTGCTACAGAAGAACAATGCTGTGGTTCCGGTCCAAGCTCCGTATATGTCATATTTTTTTTTAATTAAAAATGATATTTAATTTATATAATGCCAACATGTGGAACATATTAAAGTCTTCAAACTGAAATAACTTGATCTTGAATATCCGCCACTATAAAGACCTTAATATATAACTAGCGGTGTCAGCGACTTCGTCCGCGTACAATAGTTATTTTTATCATCCAAATAGAATAGATAGATATATAGTGTCGAAGATATTTTTTTTTAAATAATTTAAACAAGGAATCATTCTTTTATACATATTTTTGGGCTGTCTTGGACCGTTTTCATAGCGTACGCATCTGAAATTCACAGAAATAAAATCCCCCGTTTTGTTCACATTCCCCGCTGTATCTTCGCTTCTATTTGTCACAGCGCAATATTTAACCTATAGCATATAGCCTTCCTCGATAAATGCTCTAACCAACACAAAAATATTTTTTTAATTCGAACGCGTAGTTGGAGATTAGCGCGTTCAAACAAACTCCTCAGCTTTATATATTAGTATAGATAGTTAGCATAATATAATTTATTAATCTATTGAACTACAATATGCGTCGACTATTACAAAGAAAATATTTATTCGCCTATAGTACCCAAAGGAAACGTTTAAAAATGTAAAGAAGGTATGTTGATAAAGTCGCTTCCAATATGCATTCGTTGTCCAACATTGGCATATGCCATACAAATGTTTGTACATAGAAATGGAACTAGATTCACGAGTGATATTGACTAGCCCGCCAATCGTACGTTTAAATTCGCTTTATTGTGAACCATCAAACGTAAAGCCAATATTTTTATACCAGGGGTTATTGACCGCTGGTTACGCGATAGGTTTAATATTGAACGTGTTAAAAATTATCTATATAGACACAGACAAAACTAATGACCTAGTTATGGAGTAAGTAGTCTTTACCGAGCTTCGAATCAGTGATCTCTCGTAGTTAAGACAAAACGACGCGGACGTCTCCGTGTCACCATACGTGTTCCAATTCAATTATATTAGATTTTTTTATGATAGAGGAGGACAGACATAAGGCTCTGATGGTAGGTGGAATATCCCAACTGTATACATCTCAACAAGATGTGTTGTCGACCTATTTACTTATTCGGAAAGACATAGACTGAAACCGGCTAAAACGCGGCCTTTCGTGTTTCGATGGTTCTTGCCACGAACGGAGTTTCGATAATTCTACTACTCATTTAATATTCAGATATCCAGACAAAGCCCAATGTGTTGAAAAGAAATGATAAATTCATTAAATAATGGTCCCGGTGGAGATCGAATCCACAACTGGTTCATTATAAACCATACATTGCGCCAGCAACTATTACACCAAAGGGGCCGTCAATTTAGTTAGTAAATAAATTAGTAGTAAATAAGTAGTAGCTCTTTTTTTATTGTTTTTTATTCTCTCTTGGTTGCCTGCAAGAGATCGCTGTTTAGCGATAAGACCGGCTTTTACGTATAAGCTAGTACATATGTTTTTATTAATGTAAACCATTCCTGTGGTATTTGTAAATAATAAAATTATATAAAATCAATAGTAAACAGTAAAATATAATAAAATTACTTAAAGTTAATTAAATATTTAATATTCCTAGATGCGACTGATAGCTCTAAACGAGCCTTACCCAGGAAACATGCTGACGTCAGCAAATCGGACCGGAAGGAACGCAGTTAACCAGGAATGCTTTAAGCAAGCCAAGAAGAGGTTTCAAGGTGCTAACAACTTTGTCGCGTTCCTCACTAATAAGTAAGTAATTAATTTAAAATTGGGTACGTAACACTTATAAATAAAACACTTTTAACGGTTTAAAACGCTTTTTAAACGTTTAGTTAAACCTGTTTACTAATATATTAACCACAAACATGTTTTATGTGTACTACTCGCCTTGACTGCAGATACTTTAAATATTTAAAAAGAAAAAAAACCCTCGTTAAGATTTTGTTTGATGTACGTATATAGTTTTATACTATTACATAAAACACTTTTAACAAATAAGACAATAGGGAAGCCCATCATTTTAGTCCCCTCGTGACCACTGCATCGGCAAAGCATTCGAAACGTTAAGTAGTCGTTGAATTAATTTAAAAATCGACGTCGGGCCGTTCCGTCGTTCTTGCAAGATAATCTCAATAGATAGACATACAACGCCGACATTTTTTAATAATTTAAAAAAGAATCACTCTTTCCATCGCAACTACGTTTTTCCACGTTTCTCACTGTTTTTTCGCCCTTGGTGGTTACATCGTTATTTTTTTATTATCTAAAGCCTTCCTTGATTAATGCCACCAGAAAATGTTTTCAATTGTAACCAGTTGCGCCTGAGATCAGCGCGTTAAAAAAACCTATTCAGCTTTATATACTAGTATGGATTATATTTATATTCGTATTTGAACAACTACAAAAAGGTACATTATTTGAGATTTCAATAAAAATAGTCTAGCAACATTAGCATTTGTCTGTGTCTATCAAAGTTTGTGTATTCTGAAAGTTATCGCCGCCATCCCATTGTGAGTGTAAAATATGACTTAGTCCATGAGATTTCATCAAAGTTTGCTGGCGTTGATTCAGAACTTAGTCCACAAATACTTGATAACGGGAAAGCAGAGATTATTAAAATTGTTGTATTATTATCTTGGAAATATTTCGCTTCGGAGCGAAGTTATTAGATCTACGATAGCCTTCGAAGACAAAGCTAATATTTATTCCGTTATTAGTTTTAAGATTAAAGATAAACTTAACAGCTCTCTTTAAATAATTTAACTGTGTTTTAATTATATATTTTTGTACACAGTACAGAGTGGTTTTTACAAGTCTATTTTACCTTGTAAGGCAGTATTGCAATAATTATACGTAACCTATACTACTTGTCGTTTGTTTTTAAATTTGATAATTTTTACTTCAATGAAAATGATTGTATTTTTATTTTTTTAAATATAGCCTGTAGTTTACGCGAGTAGGACACATTGAAATGAAACACTTTAATCAACTCTGCGTGTCTCGATACACGCAGAGTGTATATGTATCAACTAAATCAGTAATTTTTATTTATTTTTACAACGATATATAGGTCTTAGTATTTTTAGATCTATCTAAGTCTAAAGTACATCTAAGTAGTGTATGCTAAAATATTATCAATTATTATTAATTAATTTTTCAAATGTTAAGTGCGTAAATCGGCGAGCTGTATCTGTTCACTTACATTTATTTTATTAAAACTTTATTGTATTTTTTTATGTTTTTTACATTATTATATGTGTAATAAATCATTTGATTTGATTTAGTCTTAATTATTTCTTCTTAAATTTACATCTTTCTTCTTCTTTTTTTATTTCCTATTTTTTACTCTATACTATTGTGACAATCACTTTTCATTATTTAAGATTGGAAGATCTCCGATCTCTGGTAAAGACGGAGGCGGATAGACAAGTGCCAATAGTCAATTTACGTGGAGAAGTACTCTTCGACTCCTGGCTGGACCTCTTCAATGGTTCCGGAGCGCCGGTGGCTATGAAGAAAATCTACAGTTTCAACGGGCAAAGAGTCAGCATTAATAAGAATTGGTTGGTGCATACCTAGCAGTGTAACTTTCCATATTTTAGATATTGACGAGTGCCTTGGTTCAACGGGTCGTGGATTCGATTCTCATCAGGTCAAACCCGTGTCTGAAAATGTATTTATAAAAACTAAGATTTTCTGCCAAATCTGGACACGAATGAATGGTATTTCGATATCCACGCTCAAGAAGCACCGCCCATTGATAAATAGCCGTAAGGTCTAATCGCGTTTCGGTTGTAGTCTGGATTTCCAAATGTCCAAAGCTAAATGTGCACATAGTATATTTTTAAAAGTTGATCTGAAAAAACAAAAGCGTGTATTTCCCACTAATTACAATTCTCTTTGTTCCGCGTCATCAAAGTACAATATTCAAATCTCTATTTATAATTAATGGAAAAGCAACGATACGAACTTTCATTCCTCCCTTTAATTATCTACATTATAGAGAAATCGCATTTTCCCTGGGCATAGGAAAACGCATTTATATGTTTCTTTCTTTGATCGGTTATTATTTCCGGGAAAAGTTGATCAGATGTCTGTGCCCTGCAAGACTTTTTCCTGCGATTCGAACCGCGGACCTTTCATGCTTAATGCATTGTTATGCTACATATCTGTATATAGCGAGTATTTCCATCATCCCAAGCCTTTCATGATAAAATGAACAAGGGAGCTTTTCCTTGTCGTAATTTTCAAAATAAAGCAGTTTCGTGTTTTAATGTTTAAAGAAAATCCAATTGGCTATCAATAAATAGTACATTCTTACATTTTACTCTCTATTGTGTCAATGGAATTGTAATTATTACTTTTTTTTCGTTATTATCAAACGCGCAAAGACGCGGAGGCCACTGACAATCGGCGCCGTTGCATACCGCAATGTGCTTCACAAGTTTAGAGGCTTTTTCTAGTCTACTTTCACATGTAGCTACTGTAATTTTGAGTAGATTACTAAATTATTTTTATAAACTTATTCGCGTTGTTACAAACAGTTAACAAATAGTTCATAAGTGCCCATGCAGTAAACGCAATTCTGTTGTTTTTATTGACTTTACGGACTTTCTACGCGACAGACACTTTTTTATTATTTTATTGTTATAACCCTCGCAGGCCGGACAAAGCTATATGGCATGGGAGTGACTCTTTCGGCATCCGGGTTCCGCGAGCTTTCTGCGAAGAGTGGCAAAATAATAGACCTCTCGACTTCGGGATGGCGTCTCCTCTCGAAGGAAATAAACTTTTAGAACAGAGAATGTAAGTATAAATGTATTTAAGGATTTGGAAGACTAGACTGCGCTAGAGTCAGAGTAGCCTAACTGCAATTTTATGCCTTGAGTTATTTATATTTTTATAGTCTCTATTAATCTACAAGAGCACTTTCGTCCTTATTGAAAATCATGTTTTTCGTTATTAGGCCACTCTGTCTCTAGCAGCCTCATGTATGATTGGACTCAAAGTTTAAAAATGGCAACAATAATGTGAAGCTAAGACAATCAATTTTACTTACTTCTCCGCATTGGTATTATAAACCTTACGGAACTTTGTAGTAGTTTTTTGTCGAGGTTTTTTAGGCTAAAAAAGAGAATGTAATGTTCTCTTGAACTCCATTTTTACATATATTTTTCGTACTTCTAGGTATCCGTGTGATAGCAGACTTATTGTTTTGTGTGTTGAAGCATCATCGAGAATAGAAAGGCTAAGAAGAAGCCCGTAAGTATTTTCTTTCTATGTATTCCTATCCTCTTTCCAAAGCTAATAGTTGTATTTTTTTAAAACACACTGCGCTTATAAAAGTGCATATTTAACAAAAACTTTTCTTTATTTATTATAAACGTGAAAGTTTGTCTGTGTGGATGGATGTTTGTTACTCTTTCACGCAAAAACTACTGAATGGATTTGAATTAAACTTTCCAATAATATAGTTTAAACATCAGAATAACACATGGCTACAATTTATAAAGATATTGTGTGAGCTGTCCAAAATATGATATTAAGTGTCAAGAAATTCGGAAAAAACCTACCTTTCTGGGAGCTCTTCTAGCGTGCGCTGTCATAAACGTTAGTTACACATAAATATGTAATGTATGATATGATAGACATCATTTAGTTTAAAGGGTTAGTGAAAAGGGTTATTATCATGTTAATCAATATTTAAATGATAAAAATGCTTGGGGTGTGGAGGAACCCGCTCTTACAAGGAAAAATATGTTGTGTACTAAAAGTAAATCAATAATGTAAAATGAAACTTAAATAAAAGTGACGGCGAGTTTATTGCCAGTTCTTCTCGTTCGTTCTACGCCCTTGATTTGAGAACTGGTAGTAAATGTAAAGTTAGATTCTATAATTATTTTGTGACGTTCATAAGTGTACATAGTTACCTACATGAATAAATGATTTTTGACTTTGACTTTTGACTTTAAATACGCGATACTACGTAATCCTAATCCTGCGTAGAGGAAGTCTCGGGTACCAGCTAGTATAAGATAAAATAAGTCAATATTGGAGTCACTAAACACAGTCAATAAAGAAACACCATTGCGGTTTTCGTTCTTGTGTACAAAATATCAGTCAACTAATAAAGTTCCCTTCAGTAATTTTATTACAATTTAATCACTGAATAATTTTCATTCAATTACATTATGGATGCGAAGAACCACAATAACACTGTAATTAATCAGACGCTGATTACATTGTAACGAAGTGTATTAAGCAGCAATTAACTGATTTGTCGCTTCAATTCGTAACGAGATTGTGGGTACCGCAAAACATGTCCGTTTGAATCGCCCCCGGAATATGGCTAATTTATAACAGCTGCGCCTTTCACATTATTTGAACGATCATTACAATTAAACTGGTTACATGTTCTTTAAATAATACTGTTTTAATCCAATATACTCTAATACAGAAAGCTGATTTGTTTGTTTGAACGTACTAATCTCAGAAACTACTGGTTCGAATTGAAATATTCTTCTCGTATTGGTTAGATCATTTATCTATAGAGGCTTTATAAAATATCGCACTGCGACCAAAAGTGGAAAAAACGGGGAAAATTATACTACTTTGTGGTGTTCCGTTGCGTGCATTTTATAAAACCCATAATAATAAATAATCCCATTTTTTTACGTTCCTCGCTGTATCTTCGCTTGTATTATTCAAAGGGCAATGTTTTATTGCCTATAGTATTCCTCGATAAATGCTCTAAGATTTTTTTCAATTCAAACCCGTAGTTGCTGAGATTAGCGCGTTCAAACATACAAACAAACAAACTCTTTATCTTTATATATTAGTATGGATAGAGTATAGATAGAAGAACCTGACAACTGGAAATAGATAACAAATTTCCTGATAAGTTACTTTTTTTGTTTTCTCCAGATCAAGAAGACGGCTTCGGCACTTGAGAAGAGATGATTACCTGCTTTAGTATAACTACAGTATTATAAGATGACATTATAGGCTACATTGATCGTTTTAAATTGGCAGACTTGAACCTAAAATATTTTATTCCTCCGTTGGGCTCTGTAGAAAAAATGATAAAATGTCAACGAAGCCTATCAATTTGGTTTTTTTAATTTCACACACCACAATTGCTTGTAAATAATCACCTTTTCATACATATTTCTCCGTTACTACAATTGTTCAATTTAGGTTATAATATTGACGGTTTAAAACGCGAAATATATTAGTTTACTTATTTTTTATTTATTTCCACGTCACCATAACTCCAGCAAAGCAAAATTAAAAATAAGTTTACTATTATACATCTCATTTCAAACCGTCAAAAGTGTTTTATTTAAATGTATGTATTCGGGTAAACGGTACTTTAGAATACGGAGAATACTTACTCTCTGTACGACAAATTATATATTTTTTTTATCTTTCTTTTGTTTATGTTTACAATTATTTTAAGTTTAACCTTAAAACAAAATTATGTGCTATGATTATGTAAAAGATAATGTATGTGGTAAAGTGATTCTAAGTCAGTAAATGATTGTATAAACATATTTCGACAACAAAACTAATTTAAACTTTATATGTTACTAGCGTGCCATATGTTTTTTTTTACTGCGATTAAAAACTTTTGTTGAACCAATATTTTTATTTATCCCTTATCTATACTAACATTTAAATTTGGAGACTTTGTTTGCTTGCTTTTTTTAACGCGCTAATCTCAGAACTACTGGTACGAACTGTGTGGATAGACCATTTATTAAGGAAAGCTTCAGGCTGACATATTAGACTGCCACCAATAATAGCGAAGAGAGAGCGAGAAGGAAAAACAGGGAAATTTATTAATCTTTGAGAGCTGTAAAAAAATTATATTAAAAGAGTGATTCCTCTTTCAATGATCTGAAAATGTCCGCGACAAAGATATGTCCATCTTATAAGAATACCTTGCAAGAACGACGAGACGCGGTCGAAGTCGCGGGGCACACCTAGTAAAGATATGAGAATAAAAAAGCTTTCCAACCATTTTCGAGCCGTTCGTCTATAATATCGGAGTATAACCACTTCTGGCAGCTCATTTGCAATAAGAAGACCGTACGAGTGGCTTAAGGCGAGCTGCATTTACCGTAAAATTGCGGTATCAACTCGGTCTTTTGATTTTCTGGTCATTTTATTTGAAGCACCTATAAAAGACTGACCTATTTCATTGTTCCTATTGGAATTTATTTGCGAGATTAAGGGCTTTATGTTTAATATTATAAAACAGAAGAGTTGGTGTGTTTGAACGCGCTAATCTTAGGAACTATTAGTTCTAATTGGGAAATGGATTGTGTGTCTGTAAAGGTGTAAGATAGACCATTTATCAAGAATGACTTAAGGCTATGCAATACACGTTACATATTATCACGCTGCGATCATCACTAGAGAGAAAACAGTGGAAAATATGGAAAATTACAGGGAAAATTATAAAAAATGTGAGGGATTCCGTTGCGCTAGTTAGTTAGAGTAACTAAAAAATATGTATAAAAGAATGATTCCTCTTAAAGACATCTAAAGAAATGTCAACGACAGTATGTCTATGTAAGATTAACTCACAAGAACCATTATTATAGAAATCAATTTTGTTCGAGATTAATGCATTATTACCGATCATTTGTAAAAGTTTTATCAACATAATAATCTTGCAAACAACAAAACAACGTTTGCCGGATCAGCTACTTTTCTATATAGTTCTGTCTTGCACTGCTGTTTATTTCAGCGGCGTATTAAGGAAAACTAAAAAATGTCTATAGTTTAAGCGAGTAGACATTTAAATAAAACACTTTAACGGTTTAAAACAAAATGGTTAAAAGGTTTTCAAATAAGTTTAACTAATATACGGTATTAGTTAAACTTATTTGAAAATGATTTTTAACTTTGGCCTGACGTTTCGGATGCTTTGCAGCAGACGTGGTCATGGGGAGACCCCGGCTCGGACGGGTCACGCCGAGACCACGTATTTGAAACTAAAAAATGTTTAGTGCAATAGTACATTAACCAGATTCTTAAGTTCGGTTTTTAAACACAAGACTAACATAGTCCAGCAATATAAACTCAATCGAATAACGTTTTCGAATAGTAACAACGGCATTTTTCTCCATATATTACGAATAATAGCCCACTATCGTGTCTCTCAAGTTGAAACCGAGTTCCCAGCTTGTTTAACGATACAACAATTGTCCGACATTTTAACTTCCCCGTAAACAGAAAGAATAAAACGGACTTAATGTTGTGTAAAAAAATGAGCGAAAAAGGGACGCAATTGGAACTGGATTCTGGGATGAAATTCAAAAGGCGCATTATAGCGGGTATAAAGAATGGAAAAGTTGTACGTTTCGACGATTGGTGAAGAGGGTGTATTTTTAAGGTGATTTTTCTTTTGTCCCTGCAGATTCAACGTTTTGAAGCGATATTTGCTACGATCTTACGTGTCAGTGTAAACTAAAACTTCGAACTTTATATTATATTAATATATTTATAAGTATATATCTAACACGTATGCCATAATCATTCAAGTAAGGTAAATACAATCATGTTAATTGGCTTTTAAGTAAATTATTTAGTTTTAGAATTAAGCGCAATTATTATTTTTTTTTGCTGTTTTGGCCTAAACTGGAGTTTAGGATGTGAATTCCTAGCATAAAATAGGTACAGACATTATTTTATATCAAACACTTTTAAATGGTTCAAAAGGCAAAATATAACGCAAAGAATCCAAAAAGTTGGTCTGTAATTAAAATAAATTATAAAATAAGAAACGAATAAATTTCGAATTTTAAACCGGGTTTATTGAAATGTGAACTAGTGTCAACTATAGTTATGCCTGTCATAGTTCGGACTGTTCGATAACGTACATTTATTTTTCGAAGGCAGTTTGAAAAGTAGCTAACTCTCGCCCCATCCATTGACAAAGCGAGGAAATTCTTTAAAATTACAGTCTCTGGCAAGGACATCGACTTTACTTAGCCGACTCGCTCCTGGCACTGTTCCAGACCGATCTATTAACAAATACTCAGTTACATTAGGAAACATAAATAGGACCCAGCTATTATCTGTTCGTTAACGCTTCGTTAGTCTAATGTCCCACGTTCTGTTACAATCTCTTATAAACCACGATTTATAAAGCAAACATCTCTTTTTCTAATATTAAATGTCTAAATAATATGGACAGTATTGTCTGTAGTTAACGCGAGTATTATTTAAATAAGCCACATTTAACGGTTCAAAATGTCGTGTCGTGGTTAAAAATAAACGTCGATGGTAGCAATGTGTGCCTAATAAGCAACGGGTAGCGGGTTTGATCCCCACCGGGTTTTCACCACTTTTCTAATCAATTTCAAATTTTTCTGAAACCTGTTGCATTTTGCCTGAAAATCTGGATATTAAATAGGTGGTGGGAATATCGAAATTCCGTCTGGGAAACGATTCACCGTCCACAGATAAAAAGCCAAGTTAAACGCGTTTCAGTTTCGGTTTGTAAATTTCCGAATATCCAAAGCCAAAGTAGGTATATAGTACATCTTAAATACTGTCTATAGTTTACGCGAGTAGTACACATTTAAATAAAACACGTTAACGGTTTAAAACGCGATATATTAGTTAAACTTATTTGTCTCCCCGTGACCACGGCTGCTGCAAAGCATCCGAAACGTCAGGCCGAAGTTAAAAATAATTTTCAATAAGTTTAACTAATATATCGCATTTTAAACCGTTGAAATTATTAATATAATGTAATGTATGTAATTTTTTATAGGCGTGTAAGTGTCTGTATAGGAATATTTGATGCTTAGAGTAGTATGGGCCCATGTATTTAATGTTAGCTTTTTTGAGAATTGGTTGCTAAAAGAATAAAGTATAGAAGGTAAATTTTTGGAAAAGCTGACGATGCCAGTTCAAGTCCTGCCCGAGTCGAAATTTTTTTCAATTTATTTTCGATTTTTAAACAATATAAAGACGCTAAGAGAGAGTACGTACTTTTAAAACACATTGTTTTAGTTGCATCAAAAACGGGCGGTTGAGTAGACACTGTTCTCCAACTCGGAACCCACGCCCCGTGGATTAGTAACCATATTTTGAGCCAAAATTACCAAACCAACGAATTCGTCAAAATTTTCTGAAATCCTTCATGGGCTAATGTTTTTGAAGTAGACAACCATGTAATGTGTTTCCTTAAAAATGTTACTTTAAATGGAGTGTGGAATTAAAGATGTCTACCTCCCAGGCTTGACATGGATAAATCGAACGATCCTGTGTTCTCACCTTCCCGGGGGACAAAAAGTATATTAAAGGACGAGTCAGCTATTTCTCTGGTGGGATTAGGTTGTATTGTGTGCATGCACTGAACATCGCTCATGAACGCGTTAGTCTATTAAGATTTTAGAATTAATATATAAAATCACGTCCAAAATAAGTTATTTCTTAAGTGTTCTATATCCAGCTAATGAAAAATGAACCCAAGCAAGTCTTAATAAAACGATCATAACGTATTGAAATAAAACACTTTAACGGTTTAAAACGCGATATATTAGTTAAACTTATGAAAATGATTTTTAACTTCGGCCGAAGTATATCGCGTTTTAAACCGTTTAAGTGTTTTATTTAAATGTGTACTACTCGCGTAAACTATAGACAGTATTTGAACACAACGTACATTAAAATATACACATCTAAAAGTAATTTTTAAAAATTATTTATTTATAGTATGTTAAACATTGTTAAAATAACCATGTGTATTTTATTTCAAAAGCAATTACACGAAACGCGTTAAAATTTAACCCATTTACGTTTTAACAAAAATATAAAACGATTTACAGACCGCAGCAATACGCTTAGAAAAATACTCGCGATCTGTACGTTGAGAGGAAACAAACGATTCTTATTAGCTAAATGTAATGAAACTCTTTTTTATCGAATTTCAGCTGAAATGATTCGAAACGT